ATATATATATATATATATATATATATATATATATATATATATATATATATATATATATATGATATGTGTATATAAATATATATATATATATATATATATATATATTAAATGTTATGAATGTATAAATATAAATGTATAACAGATATGTGGAGTCCATAAGTCGAAATAGTATTTATATGTGAGGCAGCGCAAGGGCACAGATAGGATGCCGGGATAAGCAGGCGGGAGCTAGTAGAGAGCAGCGGCGCCTTGCTGCTGCTGCTGCTGCTGCTGCTGCTGCTGCTGCTGCTGCTGCTGCTGCTGCTGCTGCTGCTGCTGCTTTACGCTGTATCGAACTGCTGCACCCATTGTGCAGCCCTCTACACTAAAACGTGTAATTAGTTGGGGCGGCATTTGCTTGGATGGAGCCACACGTTTAATGGTGCATCACAGAGCGCCTGGGCAGTGCACACAGCAGCAGCAGCAGCAGCAGCAGCAGCAGCAGCAGCAGACGCACAGTAAAGCTGGCATGTTTGCTTCCTGCAGCTGCCCGTCTCTTCTGCTGCGGGCTGTTGGCCAGCGAAGTGCAGCAGCTGCAGCAGCAGCAGCAGCAGCAGCAGCAGCAGCTTCCTGCTGTGCACTGACCTCTTTTGCTGTTTGTTGTAGCAAAAAGCCCCGCCCTTATTTCCCTCTTCTTTTTTCTTTTGATTTGCGCTGAACTGCAGACTACTGGGGAAGTCAGGAGCCGCACGGAGTGGCACCGCGTGGTGGTTTTCGACAGAGGCCTCGTGGACCTCGTGGAGGCTTATGTGCAGTGAGTGGCGCTGCAAGGCTGAACATAAACTAAGACTGAACATGAACTAAAACTCAAATGCAAGTCTAAATAGTTGAATAAATAAAATAGTCGAATAAGGCGGCTGAATTCGGTAGAAGGAGGCCATTTTTCAGTTCATTTTCCCGCTTTCTTCACTTTCCGATCATGCAAGTGTCTCAAACTGGAAATGAAGTGCTCCGCACTGACTTGCCCGCCTTGCGCGGTAAATAGGCCCTCAAGCCTAGTAAACAAAACCAACACACTAAGAAATTAACTACTGTGAAGTTATAATTCAAAAATGACTGCCAAGTGCTTGCGTCCCAAGCAGCGCAACCAGGAGGTGCCTGTACACCTGATTCTTTGCACTGAAAGTGGCTGGATTGCGCCTGCGGCCCGACTCCGCACATTTGCATCTTGTTGATGGCAATGTGCGTTATATTTATATTTCTTTTCCTTTTTCTCGTTTTGCTGCACTTTTTGAGTGCTGCTGCTTGATTGGTGTTCGCTGCAGCAAAGGCCGCCGGCTGTATGTAGACGGGTCGCTGCAGACGCGGCGCTGGGTGGCTTCCGACGGCCAAGAGAGATACACCACCGAAGTGCTGCTGTCGAAGTACAAAGGAGAGCTCGTGCTGCTGGAAAGCCCAGAGGAAAGGCATGCTGCTGCTGCTGCTGCTGCTGCAGCAGCAGGCAGCCGAGCTGCTGCTGCAGACGGCCAGCACAATGGCGGGATGCCGCGTGCTGCGCCAGCAGCTGCAGCAGCAGCACCCCCCGCTGCTGCAGCTGGCCCGGCGCAGGCCCTGCGCAGCAGCAGCACAGCCCCGGCTGGGGCCTTCGGCACCAGCCAGCCTCCGTGGAGGTAGAGAAAGCTGCGGGGCCAATTTGCACTGCAGCAGCAACGGGGGGTTTTGCTGCTGTCAGCTCATTTGGGGGAAGGCTTTAGTGGATTGCTGAGCTGTGCGTACAGCTGGACTCAACAACGCCAAGTCTGCTGCTGTCTGCTGCTGCTGCTGCTGCTGCTGCTGCTGCTGCTGCTGCTGCTGACAAATGGAGAAGCAGATTAGTCAACATTGTGGGGAGAGAACTGCGCCCGAGGGGCTGCTGCCAAGTGGCGCAGCCACCGCTGCAGCGGCAGCTGCTGCTGTCACACGTTACGAGGCAGCAGCTGTTGCGGTGCTGCTGCTGCTGCGTAGCAGCGAAAGCGCTTCTGCTGCTGCTGCAGCCGTAGCTGCTGCTGCTGCTGCTGCTGCTTGGCGGCGACCTGCTGGGCCCAAGTTTGCAGCTTTGCCGGGCCAGCTGCTGCCGACTCACTCGAAAGCTCCTTCCACAGCTGCAGCACGGCGCGGCTTGTTGCTGCTGCTCCCGCTGCTGCTGCATCTGCTGCAGCTTCTCTGTAGCGGGGGTCGCGGGCGCGGCGCTTCCAGGCAGCCATGAGGGCCGGCTGCCGCCGCTGCAGCAGCCCCAAGTAAGTTTGCTGCAGCGGCCGCAGCCCCTCGGGGACCAAGTCTGCAGCGCAGAGAGTGCAGCGGCCTTGGAGCCATTCTGCTGCGCCCCTTGCTGCGCTGCAGGTGTCTGTACACTGCAGAGTGACGAGGCAAAAAGTGTGGGGAAAAAGGGCCAAAGGGAAGCAGCAACTCACGGAGAAGACTCTCCACGGATCGGAGTCTGAAGATGCGCATTAAAGCGCTCTGAAGGGCAAATGCTGGCACCAAAAACAGCAGCGCGGCCTGCAGACAGACAGGCAGCAGCCGCAGCCCCCGCAATCCAAATAATAACAAATAATAACAGCTTCAAAGGCGTTAAAATGCCACTTCAAGAGGTCCAAAACAAAAAAAAGACGAACTTAAAAGCGACTCAACAAGCATTCTAATGTTCTCATCCTCACACGCCAGTGCGGATACGCATTGAGAAACAGAAAGGCGAATACGCCCAACAACCCAGCGGCCCGAGCGCGAACACGAATTCTTTTGTGAATACATTTGTGGAAACACAAATATAATAATAAGATCGAGTCAGTGGAAGCAAAAGTGAATTTCAAATTGCAGATCCCAAAGACCCCCGACAGCTCCAGTGGCGCAACTTCAGTTGCTCGCAAGAAGCTGCAGCGGGACCTGTAGGGGCCCTCAGAGGTCAATAAACATAAAAGGACAAATTAAATCCTAAATTAAACTGCTAGTTTAGACAAATAATCCAAAAGATGCAGCGGAACATGGGGGAGCAAGCCTCCTCACCGCCGGCAGCTGCGTGCCGCTGTAGAAAGCGAAAGTTGTCGCGGCCACGAGGCCAAAGCCGCGCATTACGCCGGGAGAGGCGAAGCCTGAAGAGGCTGGAGGCGAGGGGCATCTTTTCTGGATTTTCGCAGAGACCATCCACCCGGCCTGGCGCAAAAAGAGGAAACAAACGAAAAATAAAAAAAACACAAGTCCAAGGACAGGCTCTCACGCACTCTTGCCTTTATTTATATTCACTTTCTTACGAATTTACCCTCCAGAGCTCTGCGCCCGCGCTTTTGAACTGCCTGCCTATCAGCCCCCATGCTGAATAGCGCAGCTTTGCGCGGTTTAAAGGGCTAATTGCTTTCTTTTTTTCCTTTCTTTTTATTTCTAAATAATTGCTTTCTTTTTTTTTCTTTCTTTTTATTTCTAAAGTGCCCTCGCCTATCACCAAGTGCTGCACCGCCGGGCATTCAAAAACGCAGAGAAAGTGGGAAAAAGTGAACAAAAAGTGCACTAAGGCGCACCGCCATAGTCGAGACAAACACCAGCCAACAGACTGCAGCTGCGAGTCCAGAGGCATCCGGCAGCGCCAAACTCTCCAGCCACGCCGGCTGCTCCACAGCGAAGCTTTTCCAGTTGAAAGGGTCCGCTGAGATGGCTCTGCAGCGCACACGGAGTCACTTCGGGAAAAAGCCGAATTCACGCTAAGTCCTTTCTGCCTTCGACTCCTCACACACGGAGTCAGTTCGGGAAAAAGCCGAATTCACGCTAAGTCCCTTCTGCCTTCGACTCCTGACACACGGAGTCACTTCGGGAAAAAGCCGAATTCACGCTAAGTCCCTTCTGCCTTCGACTCCTGACACACGGAGTCAGTTCGGGAAAAAGGCGAATTCACGCTAAGTCCCTTCTGCCTTCGACTCCTGACACGCGGAGTCAGTTCGGGAAAAAGGCGAATTCACGCTAAGTCCCTTCTGCCTTCGACTCCTGACTAATCAGCTGCAGCTACTTTGAAGTGTTGGAGCACCTAATAGCCGGAGTCGAAAGCGAGATGGCCAGGCCCAGCAGCAGCATTTGCAAAAAGGATGTGGGCAATACCCCAATCCCGTGCTGCTTCAGAAACTGCTTCGTCTCAGCGCGCAGCCGCTGATACTCTTTCGTGTTCTGCACAAACAGCAGAAACACAATAAATTGGCTGCTGCTGCTGCTGCTGCTGCTGCTGCTGCTGCTGGCTGTCGCAGTGAGCCACACAAGCACTCAAGTTCAAACAGCTCCGTGCAGAAAGGGGCGGCATTGGTGGAGAGCTGAGGCGGAGTCACAGTCTTGTGGCCGAATAAAACGTGAACATGCAGAGGAGGAGAAGTTACGAGATTAACAAGAAGGAAAAGTGCAGATGAAGTTTCGCAGGCCTCTCCCCAGTTGGAACACTGGACAACCGAGAGGGCTGGCTAGTACGTTTGGGCTGAGTCGTTGGCCTTTAAATCTGTGGACTTGAACTTCGTAATATGCACTTTCATAAGGAATGAAGCAGACTGAAGTGTACCCCGCTTTCGTAAGCAGCCTTCATTTTGTCCTTCATGCGCGAAAACTGCGGGTCGACGAGCTGCCGCTGCCGCCTATCTCTTTCCTGTTCATCCAAAATAGCACAACAACAAAAACTTGAAATAATTCTCAGCAGCACTTCTTCAATTCCTGCAACGCTGCGCTGACCACTGCACACTCGCGCAGCGCTTGAGCACTGAGGAACTGAACACGCACAGAGTCCACGGCGATTGGCAGCGTCAAGAGCCGCAGCAAACACCCAGCAGCGGGAAGAGCCAAACACCTGCACGTCTCAGACGCAAATACTAAATAGGCGCATGAAAAGCCGCAGTTTTATGTGCAGCATGTTGCGAGCTTTGAGAGTTTCGCACTGAGGCCATAGGAGGGCAGCCTAAATGCGTCTGCCACTGTCTTTAATGATATTACTTCGGCAGCCTGAACTCACCACGGAACGCCAAGACTTAATTTCAAAGCTATTAACCAGTCCACAAACCATCCAGACGGCGTCACTGCCTCGGCAACGGCATTTGCTCCCGTGCTGGCTTCATTCTGCAGCTCACAAGAAAATGAACAATTGAGAGCTGCTACTTTTCTCCGGAGTAAAGTCCATTCACCAAAGAAGCACAATTGCGTATTTTCCCTGAAATAAACTTGTAGTCCGACGTAAAATGTTGCGGCGGTCTCGACTCACAACTCTTCGAATGTGCTCCAGCAGCTCCTGCGCGTAAGAGCCCTCCGGCGGAACAATGCTGCAGCTTTCCTCGCCTTTGAGTGCCAAAACTGACTCCTGAGATTCTCCAGTTTCTTTGGAGTCGACTAAAGGGCTGGAAGCTGCGTCAGGAGCTGCTGCTGCGGTGGATCCTGAGGAATCCGCGGGTGGCGCCGCAGCTGCTGCTTGGCTGCTCAGGCTCGCCGCGATGGAGTGCAGCGACCGCAGTGGAGGGAAAGCAGCAGCAAGAGACAGTCTCGGCAGTTCTTTGAAACTGCATGCGGGAAGGATTTCCTTTCCGCGGGTTATCCCCGTTGTTCTTGAAAACATGAACGACGGCTGCCGATTCGCAGCCGACGCCCACCGGCGTGGACTTTCGGCTGCCGCCAAAGAGGCGCGCAATTGAAACGAACAGTTAAAACATGAACAAGAACTCGATATGAATGCGCTATCAGAACGCGAAGCAAGTTTTCGGGAGCCGCCCAGCGAGCGGCAACGGGGAACTTGAATTCCTGCAATCCCTGCAACGGGACTGAGCCCAGCAATCTTCCGGGCGCAGGAAGGCCCTACGAAAAAAGAAGTCCGCATCGTGTCATACTCGTCTCTTAGGCGCTATGTGCATTACTTCACGCGGTGCATTGCCCAAGGGCGAAAAAGATGAATTGCAGGTCTGCTGCACGAGGGCAACGGTAAACGGGGCCCGGAGCGTGCTAGGGGAATTCCATGAAAGCAATAACATCAATAAAGATCGCCTCGTGAAAACGTTTTATCTCTTGCCTAACTCTTCTGTTTAGCGCAAGGAGATGCATGTACTGAAGTACCAGGCAGCATCAACAAGCCCCCCGTTCCTGCGGTCTGCCACAGGCAGCGCTGCGGACTAAGCGCGGATCCTTCTGTGAGACTAAGGCTACAGCGTGAAAGCTAAGCTATTTTTGTTGAGTTGCTGCATAGTCAAAACCGAATGTAACTATTTAGGACTGTAGCTTGAGATGAGCTATGCTGGTCGCATGCAGGGGGGCGACAGTTTCGTCTCATTGTGGAGCTGAATTTGCGTGGAGGAAGCCACCAAAATTTCTCTGTCCTGAAATCAATACAAATATGAGCAGGTTTTAGTCTCCATTTGAGCAGACGGCCGGATTTTCGGAAACAAGCTTTTCGTGTGTGACCCGAAACAGCAAGGTGGACCTGCGGCCAACTTCTGCAGCTCGCCAGCCGGAACGTCGATCGATCGAGCCAACCAAGTTGCTCTTCTTTGATGCACTTAAGAAAATTAATTGCAGCAGTTGAATTTAATTAAAATATTTCAACTTCCGGGAAGAAACTCCAAGCTCGTGCGGCATGGATGGAACAGTTGCTGCCCTCCCTGCCTCGCGGGACAGTCGTCGCAGCATCTGCGACTGCTGAAATGAAGGACTCATTCTAGCGCCTTCACTTTTTCTTCACAGCGTCACTCTGAGTATTCCACGAAGGTAGCCGGGAGAGCCACTGCAGCAGCGCGGTTTGAAGGCACGTGCACAGGCAGCCCCCGACGGTGTCGCCGTAGCCGTTGCAAGAGTGGTTGCGCTCATGGAGAAAGATCGGCACCTTAGTTGAATCTTTTCCTCGCTGGCTATATCTGCGCACGTGGAGTGTAGCGAATTGCTGAAGAGGAAGGCGCTGTTCAGTTCTTCTTTCGCTCGCACTACCAGTCCGTTCAAGACAGAGCGGAACAAGCAGGATGCGCCTCGTGCTTCACCCGGGCGGCATCGTTGCATGCTTGTTTGTTTGGGCTTGTTTGTTCGTTGTCAAGGCCGCAACGAACGTCCTGTTCTTTAATATCCTTTTTTCAGATGTCTCCGCAGTGGATGGTGCAGCAAGCGGCAGGGAGCCCTTCAAGGGTGCGCAGCAGCCGTTTCGGCGCCACCGCCTTCACGCCTGCGCCTTAGTCTAAGGCATTTAGCTCAAAAAGTTCTCAATCTGCATGCTGTAGACTCCACAGTTTCAGGATCAGGGCTGTGTGGCTCTACTGGCTCTCATTTTGGACAATTGAGCCCCACGCGAAACCCTGTGGCTTCAGCAGGCAGTGCCGGTCTTAGGCTGCGTGCAGGTTTCTGTCTTCACTGTTCTGCGCAGGGCAACCGCCGCTCACTTTCCTGGGGAAGATGCTGAAGATACTATTTGAGTGCGTGACTTGGCTGGGCCTCATATCCCACCTCGCGACTTTGTTAACAGACCCAGGATCGACCAAGACGGCGCCGGTGTGTTTCGTTTGCAAGAAATGTGAATTTGAACTTTGGTCAGCCTGAGCGATTCAAAGGGGCTGTGAAGTCTAGCAGCTTCTCGTGTGTTTCTCATGAACGGAATGTGATGCAGTCCATGCCTCCCAAGAACTTTACGGGACAAACAAACTTTTGTGCCAAGTGCAAAAATCGCTGGAAGCCGCCTCGCGCGCACCACTGCAAAGTGTGCAATGAGTAAGAGCCATATAACGCGAACAGCAGGCATAGTGGCGGCTTTTGTCTACCTCTACTGAACGATCAGGACCATTTTGGGCTTTTTTGAGTTTGTTTGTTTTCGTATTTGTTTTCTCCTGTTACCTTGTCAGGTGCATCATGAAGATGGATCACCACTGCCCATGGGTAAACAACTGCATCGGCTCCATGAACCAGAAATATTTCTTCCTCTTCCTAGCATACATGGGTGGGTGAGGCGGAAGAGAAGTAAACTTAGGCTTTTCAAACGCATCATGCTTTAGATGCAGCGTGCAGGTACCTCTGCACGCTGCAACTTGGCAATCTATGTGGATGAATGAGAGAAACATTCTGAAAATGTTTTCGTCTGTTCTGCAATGGATTGAAACAGCTCTGTCTTGTCTTCTGAATATTGGCATCATCTTTTCCGGAATCGGAAGGTTCATCATCGTTTCTTCAGAGCGCAAGACGGTAAGCAGCTATGAGGCGCCAGCCGAATTGTTCACTTTTGAGCACTCAGTGGCCTGATCAAGGGTACATCGTCCCACAATGGCTTGCGTTTGTTGTCTCCAGCTCTTCATTGAGCAATGGACATCCGCATATCCTGGTTGGCTGGCCCCTGTGCTGCTAGGCGGATGCTTGCTAGTCGACGTTGTTTTCCTACTGGTAACGCTGGTAGGCGAGGAAAGCTGAAATATATGGGGTGTATCAGCACGTAAAACTTGTGTTACAGCGGTTTTGCCAGATGCTTCGGCACACTATGCTGATGCGCCCTCAGGACTTTTTGGCCGAGCAATGGGAGGCACTCGAGACCAACGCTACTTTGGTGGAAACATACAGGAATACCCATGGCCAAAAGGTACAAAATATCCTGCAAGGACTCTGTAGTTCATGGGTGTCCAGAAAATTGGAGAATACTGGGCAGCTGCTGAGTGAACGGCTGGATTTGCGTGTTTGCAAAATGCAGACTACTCTGTGGGAGCATACTGTGGCGGTATTTGGTCGACAGTGGTGGTTTTGGTGGCTGCCTGTGCCGCCGAAAATAGCTCCTAATTGGACGGGTGAGACTCTCACCATGGGAATAACGCATGAAAATGTTTTCATGCCACTTCGTGACAAACATGCTATCTTTTTTGCGATAATTCGTCTCCACAGATCCCGAATTCAAGGACGAAAGTCGTCATAAACGAAAGGGCGCTTCTGCGGGCGAACATGAACTCCAAGCATACAGTCACGGCTTCGCGTCAGACGAGCTGCAGTGAACTAATTAGCATGTGCTCCGTTTGGGATTTGTGGAATTTGATGCCTCCGCTCTTTTGATAGCGGCTCCCTAGGACGGCTTAGTTTACTTTTCCTTTATGAGCTATTTCATGGTATTGAGAAAACGGCGAGGCATCGCTGGCTTGGAGGAGCGGAGTGATGTTGAATTATGTGTTCCGGCCTTAGTTTCAACGCAGACAGCATAACTTTCTTTTTTTTAATTTTTTTCAGTTGTTTAAGGCTTACGGTCTTAAATTTACAATAGTAAAATCACGGCGTGCGCCGCGAATGCTGCAGAACTTTAGAAGTGATATACAGCCCAGTGGCTATCTTCTCCATCAGAGCTGCCGTGTACGTACAGCTGCAGTGATCAGTGAAGATGCTCGCACACCGGTTGCGGCGCGTTTGAAATTACTACCGCCTTTTTTGTCCCTCAGCACCGACGTATACCCAGGAATCTTTTTCACTGACAATGATTAGAGCTGCAGCACTTCTCGCAGGCCTGGCGGTACCTGCGTCAGCGCGTGACTGGCTTTCGAGCGAGAATCAGGCGCTGAAGTTGCCAGTATGGCCAACTGCAGGTAAAATCTTTGCTCTTCCTCTCGCTTTCCCTTGGCGTCATCATCCTCTTTCAGTTGAGAAGGTGCTGCTTTCCGAGGAACCCACTCCTGATGACTTCACCGAGGAGCTCCAAGGGGGTGCACCCGACATGAACATGTTGCCTGGCTTCACCACACTGGAGAACTATCCCAACCCAATGGTCAACTCGATGGCCTGCAGAAGATGGGGCATGGAAGTTTCCTACGTCTGCGACCCAGGTACTGTTGAAGAAGTGCTGCAAGATCAAGGCGCTGTTCGCATCAATCTTTTTCAGATCATGTGTTTTCCAGCGGCACGTTGGACAGAATAGAGGGTAAGCTTTTCATTTACTTGCATATCTCTCTGGAATAGTTGAAATACCAATGCTGTGCAGAGCGCCTTTCCAATATCCGACACAACTCATCCCATCGCTGCGTCGACGAATACGTCTCCTACCCGTAAGTTCTGCTGGTCATATTTTCCCTGCAACTGACGTCCATCAAACGCTATTTAGCTTTGGAGTTGCGATTGTTCAAGAACTACCATACGGCGTTGATGCGAACACGTTTGCGACCGAGCTCCTAGGTGAGGCGCTTCATTATGACTGCTTTTATTTCTCTATAAACAATGAGCGTCCTTTTCAGATCGCTGGGGACTTGGACACAGCAAGTGCCACGATGGGCTTCTGTTGTTGTATGTTGCGTCCGACGGCGACGTTTCCCTCAAGTGGTATGTAACATTACTAGATAAAACGCTGCAACGCTGATTCATCATTCTTTGCTTTTCAGGAAGAAAGGCACGTGAAATACAATTTGCTTTGAAAATTACTCTATAATAATGCGATGAACAATCCACAGGAGTCGAGCCTGAAATCAACTTCAGGGTAAGAACATCGCTGACTATATGAAAGTATACATATATTTTTAAGACTGTTTACAGACATATAGCGGGCTCCTGCGCGAATTCAGAAAGAATGGGGGAAAATTGTCCGCTGGAAGGGCTCTTGAGGCCGATGTCATTGCAGTTGGACAGGTATGGCCTCTTCGTTTTACGCTTATTTGAAAGCATTTCACATTCGTTTTTCAGCATCTGACAGGGGAAATGTAAGTTTTATCACGATTGCCATATTGGAAACAAGATCTGACCCTCCGTAGTCTTCCACCTCGTCAGACTCCTCATCTCGCCGTCTTGCTCACAATCGCCAGTATTGTTGCCCTTGCGTATCTTGCATGCGCTGCCACTGTCATTTCTGTAAGTTACATTCACCTCTTCAAAGAAGTCCTTAACTGAACCAACATTCTTTCGCAGGACGAGCTTGCCAAGTATCGTTAATCGCCTTGGCGATGACGAATATAGTCCTGATGGATGTCTAGAGCTTCTCAAACTACAAACTTGCAAATCTATTTTGAACATGCTACCTGGCAGCTTGGCAAATATCTCTCAGCCCAAAGCCATCGTGCATATTCCGGTCTATTAGAGGCACCACATCTAGTTAGTCAAGTTCCAGAGGAAATATCAAATAGCTCGAAAAATAGAGGAAAAAACCACTGCATTCCTGGAGTTACAGATTACAAAACTTTCGCGAGGAGCTTCCCGTAATGGGGGCCACATAAGGGTTTTGCAACCAGAGCATCACTCTGGAAACGCTTCTCTAACGCAGGTATACTTAACAGCGTGCAGAGTTTGTTCAGTGAGTTTTTCTTCTCCCGCTGAATACACAAACAGACTGCCAGAATAAGTCAAAATGGAAAGATCGGCAGCACGTTTTCCAATTGGTGAATAGTGTGAGGGAGGAGAGTGCTTACTGAATAGCGTATGTCACGGTTGCCCCAACACGCCGCGTGGCACAAGGCATGCCTTCTTCAAATATGTGGTCGATGGCAAGAGATATTTCCTTTAGTTGCTGAGGGAAACAGGGAGCAATTGTACAATTTATTGTGCTGCTAAACATACCGGCACCATCCTTCTGTAGTGATGTGAATCGTTGGGAAAATGACAGACTTTGTAATCCGGTCGGTCGTTTTGAAATGCTTACGTGCAAGAATGACTGTGGCTCCAGACCTGAACGGCATCTGACGACTTTTGCTAGTCGCACTGTCGAAAGTTCATGTGCTGCTCGCTGAACAGATGCGCAACTGCAGAATTCAGTCTGGCGGTTCACTCCGAGAAGATGACCACAGTCGGATACTTCGGATGTTCTTTGAAATTGATGTCATCGAATCAAACACAGGGAGATGCACTCTTAACATTGTTATTATCGAATAAAGCTTTTTACCAAGGCAGCGTATTCTTCGAAATCATTGTCTCCAATAGATATCAGATCGATCGTTCTTGAAGGCGCGATGCTGTTTTCTTTGCAGTGCTGGTGAATAACCTCCAGAAACTTGGTCTTCTGAGGAAATAAAAAAACAGGGCATATTCTAAAGCGTGGTCTTTCCGTTGATTTTTACAACTTCCGAAAGTCTAGCAATTTCTCCTCTGAACCTCACCTTGGCATTCATCCAGTAAGAAAAATAAGCAGGCGCTTCATGAATACTTGGCTCTTCTCCTACTGGACAAGAACGAATGATAGGGATGCTCTCATCCTGGAGAAGCTGAACAACCTCGGGAAAGAGAGATTTCATGGCTGACAGCCACCGAACGCTCCTTGCGTTCGTTACAATGGCAACTGTTTCACTCCATTTTTTCGCCCTCTTGAGTGTGCTTAAGATAATTGGCGTAAGCTTGTTCGACGTGATGCGTTCGAGCTCCTTCTTGATTGCCTGTGAAAATTAGCTCACAAGAAGGTCAAAATGCAGTTATGGTTTGTCATACCCCACTGCAGTTATGCGTAAGCGCAAGCATTTGTTTAGATCTAAAATGCCGCTTACTTGGTACACTTCGTCAGTGGTGGCATGCTTATGTTTCTGAGCTGCGAAAGTTGATCTTATCCATTCAGTTGGGATAAGGGTATCGTCAAGGTCGAAAATAAGGATGGCTGAGTGTCGAGAGTTCTTGTGACCACTACAGGTCATTTTATGGGTAAAAGAGCTTGCTTCAGAACTCTCTGAAAGTCCCTCGGAAGATGAGACAGAAAAATTTGGTAAAACTGTTTCTTCGTCGGCGCTGCCTGAGCTACTCAAATCTTGTGAGGTATCATCGTCAGTGAGGTCACAGGCAATAACCTGATCTTCTATGGGGCCAGCCGACTTAGTAGAATGTGAAGATCCCATTATGGTTAGCGTCCTTCAAAGCCCCCGCGCCTTTTGGTTCGCGTGAGGCACACAGCCGTCGAATGGGGTGGCGCGCTAGCACCCCCCAAAAAATGAACTAAGATGGGGTTCAGCGTCCTTCCATTTGAATTCTTTCCTGAAATGTCACTCTTTTGCCTGCATGCGGGAACTTGGCCTGTACACACGGTAACTTGACATTGCTGGCGAGCATCAGCGAACAGGTCCAGGAGACGAGCCGCCAGCAACAAGGCGAACTGGAACCTGCGCACGAGCGAAGGAACGCTTCAAGAATAGACAGTCTCAGCTGTCAAGCTTACTCATACAGAGAGAAAAGCCATCGATTCCGCTGATTACAGGGGTGAAAAATGCCCGTGCAAAAGGCACTCCAGAGCGATCATGTCCTTGGTCTCCTGCGCCTGCTCCAGCCCCGGCATAATTCCCAATTCCGCGAAGTCTGGCAGAATCTAGTCCCCCATTTTCATCAAAACAATTTTGGTTTCCCGTATTTTCTTTCTTACTTTTTGGTGTGAGATCCAGCAAAACTTAGGAGGTCTCTTGCTGGCCTTGCGGGACGACCACTGCTGCCAGCGAGGCGCTCCTACAAATCTACTGTGAAATTCTTTCAAGGCTTATTGCAGATGTGTAAGCTATAAGTTACGTCGAAAGAATCATTTTTTAAATCAGCTAGCTGAAAGTGAGCTTATTTCATGCAGTCCCGTTCCTTTTCAATTCTGAACCCCAGAACTTCCCTTCGTTTCAGAAAAACATTGATATTGATCAGTGAGTTACAGCGGGCAAAACGGGGCAGACTTAATTTGAAGCTTCAGCACTAATAAAAAAATAAAAATGAGCATCAAAAGGAGAAAGGAAAGATTGCGGAAATGGAAAGATCACCGTTTCATAATCGTTCAAGGATTGTGATACTGGAAGATTCACAAATGGTCTTGCGTGACAGAAGTTATTGCCACTGCTCGCTCTAACAAAATTTTTTGTCCCTTTAAATGGCTCATTAGCATTGAAAGCTCCTATTACGTAGCAGGGAAGGTGAAATCGCCCGAACATTTTTGTGCACTATGGTGAGGTGCCGCATAAAATATGAGTAGAAGACGAGGACCGGCGAAATCTTTGGAAACAGCTGACTACAGTCACGAAGACCCCCGTATTTATCCCCTATGAACACAGTGAAGGCATTATGCCACATTCACACGCATATAGTTCCATATGTCACTCGCATTGAAAAGCCCGTAGCTTGGCGCACGCCCGCAGGACAGGGGTTGCGAACAGAAGAAAATTCTTTCTGAGTTCCTTTTGGTGTTCCCGTAGCTTCTTAAGCAAAGGCTTGTTCCATCTGAGTGCTGGCTCTGCCTGTGCTACTCGAGGCTGCTAGCATATGCTACGTAGATTCCATTTGAGGTTGTGTGGGCTATTCCACACCACGCCCTTGCCGACAGCAGCTCGCATCAAACGAAACTAGAAAGTCAAGAACACTTGTGCTCTTAAAAAGGGATTTGCGCATATACTGCGGGCAGCTAATGGGAATGCAGCCCCCCAAGAGCAGCACGACCCAAGACGCCTGCAGTGCAGGTCTGTGGCTTTCTGCCGAGAAAGCTGCCAAGTTTGATTAACGGGGGGCTCGCCACACTTGTACACGCACACTTCAAGTGCTAGAAGTTACAGGAGAGACCCAAATAAAGGTTCAGACTAGGAAAGCCGTCAAGCAGGCTTCTTTAAATTCGAGCCATCTTGCTGGCCAGCTGCGTGTGCGTGATCTCATGCTGGATCTACTTAACTTGAACCCTGAAGTCCTTCTAGGTTGCTGTGAGGAACAAAATCGTATTCTTTTATGTTAATCTATGGCGCAAAATGAAGCAGCCAGAAAGCCCAGCCTAGCCGTCCCGTTAGACTACAAGTATAGTTCAGGAAACAAAGAGGAGCCGCTGCGGCCTGGCGCCAAGCTAGAACAAACTCCTTTTTATGAATCACCGCAAACAGTAGAAATGCAAAGCATCCGCACTGAGGCATTTGACACTTTTTTGACACTTTTCGTGAACACTTAGTCGTCTTCTTCAGTGTAGAGGCCGTCAAACTACTACCAAGCTACCAAATGCTTTTGTTGCGTGGGGCCTTCTCGCCGGGCTTAAAACCTCGAAGGGTCATTTTTACTCCTCAAATGTAGCAACTATTACATGTTTGGAGACGTCTACGCACAACACGAGGGGCCTCGCAGAGATGGGTAGGATCTTGCATTTGATTAAGTGCCGCCAAGGTCTTGCATCTTCAGGGATCGAAGTGACCCAATATGGCGTTTCAATATGCACTGATTGAAAAGTGACAGAGAGAAGAAGCGCCTCGGGCAGTTCTGTAGGTTCTTGATGAAATACTTTAGTGTTTAGCCTTTCTTGCGAAGCAAGCTTGTGGCTGAGTCTATGCTTACCGTATAATGTCCGATCAATTCAACTTTTCTAAGCTGGAATGAAGCATTTTATTCTCATTTGTGGACACGTTTCGCTTTTCTTCATGTAAAGTATGAATGGCTCGCAAGATACCGACTGCATTTGTGCAGCCACAGGAATCAAACAACGAAACACAATAACTTTAGTCAACAATTATCATTTGATTGCAAAACAGACTTCGCTGAATTCGCAAGTGCCTTCTCGAACTTAGTCTGAATGGCTTGGCCATTCACTTGCAAGGCTCATGTTCTGTGCACTTGGCATCTGGGGCACTGCTGGGCTGCGCAGTTGCGTGGCTCGTTTTCTGTCTTTCAAAAAAGTGCAAAATGACAATACGAGGACTCTGGAAAACCATTTGTGTCTGCAGGAGGCAGCTGGTGCTGTCACGACTCGATCAATAGGCAACTCCTCTTCAGAAGCTGCAGCAAAACTGACTCCCGACGGAGCCGCAACTCCCCCAAATTTAGCTGTTTTTCAGGATTTGAAGTGATAGGACTAGTAGAATAACCAATGCCTTACAACAGTTCCCACTCTTGATTTAAAGCTCTCTAAAATGGTGGCTGCAGCCATGTCAGTTGTGCGCAGTTTACTTCTGTCTGCACGAACATCCACTTTACACTGAGATGAATTCCATTCAGCAACTCTGGAAGGGCTCCGCACTTTGCTGTGCTCTAATCTCTGGTGAAATGCTTCTTAATTCCCCTATTATTGGGCATTCCACTGCAGACTTGCTTATATTTCTCTTACTGAGTAGTGGAAAGAAAGACGCTAAGCACTGCCCAGTATGCAAACAATGCTGTTCTGTGCTGCAAAACTGGCCGCTTATCTTACTTGCCTCAAGCAGGCAGTAATTGTCTGCATGCAAGTTTCACAAAGCAGAGTGCTCATCTAAGCCTTGACTCTCTCCCAACCTTTCCTATAAGTTTTGTAATTCTCCGTTTTGAACCAGCAGTTCACCATTGAGCCCCTTAAAGGCTCACGCGTCTCTATTACACATTATTTAAAGGGTTCCCCCGTTTCTAAATACTCCATATGTACAAAAAATTGGGAATGCTCTTGTAGTGCTTCCGCTTTTGTTTGCATTGCTGTTGGCTGCGGCTCATATATATTCATATATTCCATTTCAATGACAGCAGCATTCTCTGAAGTCCGGGCAGCCACGGCCTCTCCTATAATGCACCGAGCTGTGAAAAGCTTCTGTCCATGTTTTTCAGACGATTTGAAAGAACTTTCTCGTCTCCGTCGAGAATGACTGCTCGTTTTTCTGCAACTTCGGCTCTCAGCTGGCCGTTGCCCCCGTGCTCGCGTCTGATGTGTGTACAACTCCCGAAAGTGTTTGACTATAACAGTCCAGTTGATTCAAAAGGCTGGGAAAACTGTTGTGCAGCAAATAGAACTGCATGTTGCGTATCGCAGACCCCCTGCGTGGGAAAGCTCTGTTCACTAAAGTGTTGCTGCCAGCGCCAAAGCCTCGTCCTGCAGCATATAGCGCGGGGGCTGCGCTAGCCCACTTCACAACTAAGATATTTTGCCTATTGTTGCTCATTTATAGCATATAGACGATTAGACTGCAATTGGCGTTTGCTAGGACGACTTTCCATTCCATTGGAGTGCCTGGGAAAGCGCTACTGGCAGACAAAGCCGGAGTTCAGGCCACCTCAGAGAAGACGGGTAGCGCTGGAGAGAAGACACTAATTTAAAATGAATTGGAGAATAAAAGTGAATTCCAACTTTGCAGAAGCGCTACTCACACTGGTTCGCCTCCGTGAAGTACTCTGGCCGCATCACACAGTTCAGCCTCCAGCTTCTCCACTGCGGGAGTCTACGGGGAGAATCTGCGCGTCTGCCAGTTATTTAAACGGCGTGGACTTTAAAAGAAAGCCGTCTCGAAGTTGCATGCATTTGAAGTGGGCTTTTCTCGCAATGCATCCCCGCGCTGCGCAGGCAGTCTCAACCAGCCCCAGCAGCTGGAGTGGTTGCCTTGCGCGGCTGCGGGCGAGCAGAAGTCCATTTGAGTGGAAATTCGGCATAATTTTGCAAAATTGCGAAGAATTTCAGGACTTTCTGCACAAGTCCCAAACTTTGCAGAGCGAGCAGCGCCGCCTTTGCGCCTTTGCGCGGACTCTTCGTCCAGCAGCTCCCGTGTCAGTCGCTCCGCGGCTTCGCACGGGCGCAGCGCAGCGGCCAAAGCTTCCCAGTTGGGAATTCCCGTGAAGTCCGTGGCGGGCGGAGTCCGAAGAGCGCAGGAGGCCCCTCAGAGGCCCCAGGGCGGCGGCGATCGCGGCTGCTGCTGCGCTGCTGCTGCAGCGCGTAGCTGCTGCTGCTGCAGCGAGAAGCTGCTGCTGCTGCAGCGCGTAGCTGCTGCTGCTGCGGCGAGTGGAGGATGTCGGAGGGGAAGAGTTTGGAGGCCCCGGGCCTGGCGGCGGAGGACTCCGGCTCCGGGTCTGCTGCAGAGGCCTTCCCGGAGCAGCAGCTGCCGAGCGCCTCCACGGTGGCTTCCCCCGAGGACTCCCCCGCGCCCCCCGCCTCCT